TTCATGTCGTTACTCTCGAAGTGTCTATTGCTCTTCTTTCTACTTTTGAGTATCTGCTCCAACATATGCATTAAAATCACCGAATAGTTTGAGGGACTCCGTAATCGGCATTTCGTATACAGTATACTGTATGTCCTCAAGAAGGGTCTCATATTCTCTCTCGAAATTAAAAGCGTAGACTTGTAACAGGGTCACTGCTTTAGATTGTTGTATCTTCAGTCAGATGATTAAGTCAGAGCACCAACACCGGTCTAGGCACTCGTCGTGATATCGACACCTGGGTAGAAGAGCTTCCACCCGCAGAGGTACAGGATTCCAGAGCCTTGGCGCTTCTTTGAGTTGAGTCCAACTATACCGAGTTGGTACTATGGGGCCACTTCATCAAGCTCTTCCTCTTTTCCTTTGAATGATGAGATATTCCACATTTGTGACTGTAAGCACTCACTGGCATCTGTCTTTCTTGTGGGGCATTCTCTGACGTACTATAATGGCATCGCGTTGTCCGCCTTCTCCGTTCATAACGGGTAGCGGTTCTATTGCTGATTGATATCCTCATCCTCGTTTGGTGGATCTTCAGCAGTCGCTTTTGTGCTGCCATGCCCCCGGCTACCTGAAGGCAATGAACAGGTGCTGATCGCTAACTTTTTGGAGCCTGCCACGGTCCCCTAACTGGTGACTAGGCCGACATTCAAGCCGGTTTAATTTTCGTTGTCGGCAATACCATGAGGGCAGTGGCTAAGTTGTACAGAGACTTTGCCACGGTCTTCAACCCTTCTCTTTTCTCGTCCTAGATTGAAGCGGGCAACGGCGAATTTTTGATTAGCTATTGATTCTTAAATATTCATATTCGATGATAATTTAGTAATATTAATCATCTCATTTACTGTATATCTAAAATTGCATTAAATCTGACAATTATTTTATATCCTATGCATATTTTACTAATATATATATCATTTGTTTAGGGTATTCCCAAAGTACTACAGGTAAGAAATTTATTCAATATTATTGTCGTAGCAAAGCGGTTTTCGCAGAAATGGAATGAATGAAATCACATTCTGTAGCACAGAT